TGGCGGGGGAGGTCTTCTCCTGCCCTGTTAATGTCTGACTGGTGACCTACTGTAACAATCTAAATCGTATCATGGAAATGCTATACAATTTGTGGAGGGAAGGGAGTGAGCATGGAAGGCTACATGAATTTGGAGGAGGCAACCACAGCATGTGCAACGTACATTGGGTAATAGTTTGAACTTCCAGAGTTCCAAAAATAAGGCTGAAATGCTGCAATGTGACACTCACACTGATTAGATATGAAATAGTGGTAAAACATAGAGCCTCATAAAAGCTCAAAATACATCAGGTCCTCCTGGTGTAAAAGCTAAGGAGCTTTTTACTTGTAAGTGCCCTTTGAAAAAAATAAAATAAGCAAGTGGGTTTTTCCACCTTCTGTTAAGTTCAACTGTTAATATGAGTAAAACTGACGCTAGCAATTCCCTATAAAAATATGACTGCCAAAGTAATTATATCACATCGAACATTTTTTCTTCTTGACATTAAAACAAACAAGCATTCTAATTTAGATTGATGTATCTTAGTACAAGTATTATTTAAAGTTTGTGGTCTTTATGAATCTTTTTGGATTACACAAGGGGGAGAATTATATTTGCATTCAGCCTTGTGTAGTCTTAAAATAGCAAAGAGATTACCTGCAAAGGGTTAGCCTAGTCCTTAAGTAATTGTCAAGCTCATGAGGTGAACCTCATTGTGCTATTCCTTTAGGATCCTTCTTCTGGCCTCAGACAGTTGTTTAGCATTTCCCATACCTACCCACCAGCGCACTCAGCCACTGAGCTCCCTGCAGCTGTGCCTAAAATGTCCCACTTGCACTGGTTTTCTCAGGATGATGTCAGCCTATCCTAAACCCGCTGACTTACCCGCCACCCCACCAGCTTCTCCAGTTTCCCTGTCCTATTTCTATCTATGGGAGCCTTCACCCCTTACCACAATCAACTATAACAGTACCAACACACCACTTAAAAGCAAATACTTGCTTTATCCCTTCAGGATTAGACATGTTTTAAATTTTTCATTTGTTATACAAGTCTTACTGATTTACTATTGAGAACTGTTAGGTTGGTGCAAAAGTAATTGCGCTTTTGGCCATTTCTTTTAAAGACAATGACTGCAATTACTTTTGCACCAATCTAATAAGTAGATGAGTAAGATAGCTAAGCTTTCCCACCCAGATTGCATCTGAAAAATATTGGAGAAAATCACTGTAGTATTTCTTTGTAAAACACCTTATTTATATTTATATTTATTTTTATTTTTATTTATTATATTTATTTCTATTTATATTTATTTTTATTTTGGAGTTGGACAACAGTCTTACTCTGTTGCCCAGGCTAGATTGCAGTGGTGCAATCTCAGTTCACTGCAAACTCCACCTCCCAGATTCAGGCAATTCTCCTGCCTCAGTCTCCCAAGTAGCTGGGATTACAGGTGCCCACTACCACACATGGCTAATTTTTGTAATTTTAGTAGATATGGAGTTTCACCATGTTGGCCAGGCTGGTCTTGAACTTCTGACCTTTGATGACTGCCTGCCTCAGCCTCCCAAATTGCTGGGATTATCGACATAAGCCACCATGCCAGGGCTATTACTGTTATTTTTGAGACAGGGTCTTGCTCTGTCACCAGTGCTGGAATGCAGTGCACAGCTCCCTGCAGCCTCCGACTCTTGGGCTTAAGCAATTCTGTCACCTTAGCCTTCTTAGTAACTATGACTACAGGGACACACCACCTTGAATGGCTAATTTTTAAAAATTTTGTAGAGAAAAGTTCTCTCTCTGTTGCCCAGACTGTCTAACTCCTGACCTCAAGCATTCCTCTCACCTTGTCACCCCAAAGTGCTGGAATTACAGGCATGAGCCACCATGCCCAGCCCTAATGATTCTTAATAAGTAGTTATGGTCATCTTGGAAGTTACGTGAGTCCACCAACCTCTAGTTAGGGTGGACAGAATTTTCTACTTTTGCTTCCAGTCCACAGTACTCAGGGGGGCCTGGCAGGAAGGAAATTCCTTTCACTACTGTTACAAAAAGAATGGGTAGAACTTCAGCATATCATTCTAGCATGTGATTAATGCTGTTCTCAGCATGACTTTAGAAGAGTTGAAAACTCACCCCTTTCAGGGAGATTTTAAAGATATCTAGATATCAGACTGCCACAATTACTTTGAACTGGATTTTCTATGGAGGAGGTTTAGTTTGATAAAGATGAAAATGCATGTTGAATATTCTCACCTGCCTCTTTCTGCAACCCAGAAAATGTCCCCCCTTCTCCTTCTCCTCATCCACCTTTATATATTGGGGTGAAGAGGAAAGAAGGAGAGGCAAGGAAAACAACAAAATGTTTGAACTAAAAATATATATATTTATATATACAAATACAATACAGGGGGCCGGGCGCGGTGGCTCAAGCCTGTAATCCCAGCACTTTGGGAGGTCGAGGCGGGTGGATCACGAGGTCAAGAGATCGAGACCATCCTGGTCAACATGGTGAAACCCCGTCTCTACTAAAACTACAAAAAATTAGCTGGGCATGGTGGCACGTGCCTGTAATCCCAGCTACTCAGGAGGCTGAGGCAGGAGAATTGCCTGAACCCAGGAGGCGGAGGTTGCGGTGAGCCGAGATCGCGCCATTGCACTCCAGCCCGGGTAACAAGAGCGAAACTCCGTCTCAAAAAACAAAAATAAAACAAAAAAAAAAAAACCAAATACAATACAATGGTTTTAAAAATAAATGTCTGTGACAGTTGTTTGTACAGACATCTGACCTTAAGGAAGCCCATGATACATTGTTGAGAGGAGAAGCTAGGTGAAGAGAGAAGCAGATGCTTCTATTGTTAAGAGTTGGAGAATATCCTGTGCCTCTAAATTGGTGATGAGATTTATTTCTCAGCAAACCTTCCTGTTATTTTTACATACAAACTTTTATCAATGTAAGAACAAATTTTCTGTCTTTATTTTTTGTTTCATCCCTTGTTCTATGCATATTTTGCCTTTACCTTCTCACAGAACATGCACACATGCAGATACCACACACACACATGAAATTAACATAAGAATCATTTCAGTCTAGCTGAACTCCCCGTCGAACTGTCAAAAGGCCACTCAGTACTCTATTTGTTCATCACCAGGTTTTTTATACATAAATATATATACATTTCGATAAATGGGAAATATAGATAATAGGTGGAAATAAGATAGAACAAAAGAATAATAGACAGACAGACAGCATTCGTATCTTTTCTCTGTATGTCTTGAGTTTCTCCTTTATTTTTTTTAAGTGGTGTTCCAAGACAGCCTTAATAAAATTTATCTTAATAGGCACATTCAGATATGTACTGTTTGTCTAAGATGATTACTGTAGCCCTAAGGCCAGGAAAGTGGCACTTTGAACATTTAAAGGAATCGAATTAACTCAGAGTGAAAACGTGTTCTCATCTCTAGATCATACCAGTGTGCACACGTGTGAAGGATTGGCAGATAGGATTCATAAGGTCAAATGTAGACTGACAAGGAATGCATCTTAAGGATTGTGAGGGAAAAAAGCAAATATCCCAATCTACCATAATTCTAATTTATTTTAATTTGAATTGCATAAACATTAGAACAATCAAATTGTCTTCAATTTCTACTTTTAAGATAATATTTACTAAAGAAAAAAAGGCATTCTGATAGGCGTCCATGAACCTCTAAGCTTTTTATATTTAAAGAAGCTGATTGCTTCTGTGGAGGAATTGCTTTTGAGCATACAAATTTTCAAATTTAAAAGAGAGATTAGGTGAAAATTCAACACACTGTGCTGAAGAAGCATTGCTTCTAATGCTCCGTTTTTATATACACATATTCAAAAGCTAGGTTTTAATCCTGTTTTGTGGCATGTACTGTACTGTGAAGTTGGCAGGAAATTTGACCAAACCCATCATAATTTGTTTCCTGTTACTTCTGGTAAACAAGTATATGTACGTAAACTTTCACATAATGTTTGCATAAACATATTACAAGAAAATTTTCAATACATTCTGCTTAGCAATAAACCTCATCTCTTTTAGAGATAGAAGGTATTCTTTCATTCTTAACTTTATTAAGACCATCCACATCAGTGTTAAAAGTTTCATCATGGGCCAGGTGTGGTGGCTCACGCCTGTAATCCCAGCACTTTGGGAGGCTGAAGTGGGTGGATCACCTGAGCTCAGGAGTTCAAGACCAGCCTGGCCAACATGGCAAAACCCCATCTCTGTTAAAAATACAAAAATTAGCAAGGCGTTTTGGTGGGTACTCGGGAGGCTGAGGCAGGAGAATGGCTTGAACTTGGGAGACAAATGTTGCAGTGGGCCAAGATTGTGCCACTGCACCCCAGCCTGGGTGACAGAGTGAGACTCTCTCAAAAAACGAAAAAAAGAAAAAAAAAAGTTCAATCATGTATGTCCCCAAATAAAACAAAGGTGATGGAATCCTAGTAAATGTCTGAGATTTTACTAGTACATCAAATGAGATTATTAACCTGTTTCCAGATCTAAGCACTTGAAGGATTATTCCTTTGTAATGAGAAATAAATATGTACTCTGGTTTGTATTTCTGGTAATGTAAAATTTGAATCTTCTCCATTGGTTTTCTGAAATAACTTAATAAATCTCTTTACTAAAGAAAAATGTGCTCCCTTTTGGATTTGAGGGAAATCATGGATAAAGTAAAGTAATATTGGACACTGGTAAAAAAATAAGTCAGTTTTTAAAAACAAAGAATGTTGTGGAAACCGTGTTTCTGTCTTATAAAGTCAAGAAGATAAATATTGAAAAAATTATCTTACACAGTGATATGAAAACAGTGCAGTTTAATTTTGGTTTTGCTTTGGCTTAATGTTTTTGGAGTCTTATCAAAGTTAACCATGTTCCTGGTATCTCATTATTTACTGACATTCATCATTTTACCCCATGATAGTTCTGTTCAAATATGTTTTCGCTTTTCTGTTTTTTAACTCTCTCATTTTATCTCATTTCCAGATGTGGACAAGGATGGAAAGGAAATAGATGCCATGTCAAGTTTAATCCCCCTACAGACTTCACGTACTCTCAGAACAGTAGGTGACATTATGACTAAACAAATGGCTCAGTTTGGGGTGGTCTCTACATATTTCAATTCATATTTATCTTTTTCATTTGTTTAAAATCTCAGATATATGGACTCTCCTGGGTATTGGATTAGCATTCCTGATGACTCATATCATAGTTGCGATCTTGTGTTTTCTTGCAAACAGAAAAGTGCCAGTAAGGTAAGTGGTGCCTTTAGTTGCTGAATTAAATATACCATAGCAGAAAAATTGTCTGCAACCTTTCCTTTGCTATGTTTTCTTTCATCCCATATTATATACAGGGAACTTTCGTGTTTTAACGCTTTATGAATTTATTTTTCTGGGCAGAAAGCAGGAGCTACCTAACAAGAATTGCTCTTTTTTTAAATTTTTTTACTATAAAGCCTGAAGTTTACTTTTCAGATTCTGTTAGGAGCCTTTTTGAGGGCTCCAAAAAGAGAAAAATGACATCATCCACAGACTAAAAACAGATGAGGGACTATATTTGCCATTTCTGGTGCTGCCTGGGGAAGATAGCAGAATGGCAAAGGAAATTCTTTCTTGGCTTACACAATGTATTAGTTTGTTCTCACGCCACCAGCAAAGACGTACCAAGACTGTGTGATTTGTAAAGGAAAGCGGTGTAACGGACTCACAGTTTCGTATGGCTAGAGAGGCCTCACCATCATGGTGGGAGGCAAAAGAGAAGCAAAGGCACATCTTTCATGGCAGCAGGCAAGACAGCTTGTGTAGGGGAACTCTCCTTTATAAAACCATCAAATATTGTGAGATGTATTCAGTTTCATGAGCACAGTATGGGAAAAACTCACCCCATGATTCAATTGCCTTCCACCAAGTCACCCCCATGACATGTGGGAATTGTTACAATTCAAGGTGAGACTCAGCCAATCCATATCACACAGGGAGGCAGGACTCACACCGCTAATGTTTTAGGCCATGCATCCCATGTGCTGAGCAATGCACAAAATGGGCCAAGAGCTGCTGCACCTGCAGGAAGGAACTCTGCAGGCTGGGCTCATGCAAGGCCCAAAGACCCTCACAATCCACAGTGCCATTAAGGGTCTTGGATTCTTTCTACCCGTTACCCATTTTCTCATTCCCCTTATGGGTTCCAAGTCAACCAAGTAGTCAAAGTGATTGGCTTTTATGAACTCAGCAAGATAAGGGCTCACTAAAAGTTTTAATAACATTTTTAGAAATTAAAGAAGTGCTTCATGTCTTCAACACCTGAGTTTTTGGTCAGAAATTCAGATCTGCTGTAGCACCAAGTATGTCACTGAGCAAAGGTTAACTCACTGTTTTCCTTGGTGTCAATTTGTACATGCCGCCTGATGACTTCTCTTCAGATCTCTAGACTGCAATCATGTTAATAAGCAGACACCTATCTTGATAACAGGAATTATAGCAAAGTTATTATAGAACTATGGTGTTTGTTTTTTTAAAAAATTGTATTTTTAAGCCTTTAAGACTATCTTGGGCTAGGCACAGTATCTCACACCTGTAATCCCCGCACTTTGGAAGGCTGAGATGGGCAGATCACTTGAGGTCAGGAGTTCGAGACCAGCCTGGCCAACATGAGGAAAACCCATCTTTTCTCAAAATACCAGAAAAATTAGCTGGTTATGCTGACACACACCTGTAACCCCAGGTACTCGGGAGGCTGAGACAGGAGAATCACTTGAACCTGGGAAGCAGAGGTTGCAGTGAGCTGAAGCCAGGCCACTACACTCCAATCTGGAGATGACTGGAAAGAATGAAGAATGAAAGTTTTTTTGAAGTTATTGTCTTTGTATTAGTTCAGTATCTTTAGTGAGAAGTTTTCTTCTTTCTTTCCTGGGAAAAGAAATGGGGAAGGAGATTAAAATACCATCACCAGCACTACCCAAAACCAATGATGGAAGGGCTCAGAGAGAATCAATAGTTTAGATTGGTGATGCCTAGAAAACAGGTGAAAACCCTACAAAATCTACTCCCCAGAGCCGCCTCAGGGTAAAGTGTAAAGAAAACGTTTCTAGGAGTGTTAAGACAATTTTGGGGCTCATGTTTTAAAAGTAGATGCCACTGGAGTTTTCTACCCAAGCAAGCCTTAAAAAGACTGTGGTATGGTATGCTCTGTGGCCATAAAAAGGAGGGAGTTCATGTCCTTTGCAAGGACATGGATGAATCTGGAAACCATCATTCTCAGCAGACTAACACAGGAACAGAAAACCAAACACTGCATGTTTCACTCGTAAGTGGGAGTTGAACAATGAGAACACATGGAGACAGGGAGGGGAACATCACACACTGAGGCCTGTCGAGGGTGGGCAGCAAGGGGAAGGAGAGAATGAGGACAAATACCTAATGCATGCAGGGGTTAACACCTAAGTGATGGGTTGATGGGTGCAGCAAACCACCATGGCACACGTAAACCCATGTAACAAACCTGTACATTCTGCACACGTATCTCAGAACTTAAAGTATAACATAATAATAATAATAAAAGCATGGCATAATGTACCTGGGAATGGAGGAAATTGTATTAGAGGGAAAAGAGGGAGGGAGGAAATTGTACAATCTCTCAGTTGTGCGGATCCACAGAAAATGTGGAAGCTAGAGTTTACTTTCAGTTCATTTGAGGAAACATGAAAAATGGAGATAAATTGGAACTGTAGGGCTGTTCATGTAGTGCTCATTCAGGTGAAGTGATGCCCTTTCCAGAGAGGGCGATGGGGGCAGGGTTGAGCTGAAGGTAGACATAGCTGGCTTTCCTTTAAAAGGTGTATTGGGCCGTTCTTGCATTGCCACAACAGCATACCTGAAACTGGGTCATTTATTTAAAAAGGTGTTTAATTGGCTCATGGTTCTTCAGGCTGTACAGGAAGCATAGCACCGGCATCTGCTTCTGGAGGCTTTTACTCATGGCAGAAGGCAAGGCAGGAGTTTGCACATCACATGAAGAAAGCAGGCATGGGAGGGAGAGAGAGTGGGGTAGGGGGGAAGTGCCACACAATTTTAAATGACCAGATCTGGTGAGACCTCACTCACTACAGTGAAAATAGCACCAAGGAATGAGGGATCCGCTCCCATGACACAACACCTCCCACCAGGCCCCACCTCCAACACATTGGGTTACAATTCAACATGAGATTTGGGTGGTAACAAATAACCAAACTATTAATGTATCATAATATGTCAAAAGTCATCCAGTGATAGAAGGGTCCTAAGTGAAATTGATTTAGACACACACACACACACACACACACACACACGAAATCCATACACTATCACCATGAAGGCCACAACAACAGGAAAGTCAAGCAAAAAAAGTCAGAACTACACTAACCCATTGCAATAGAAGACACTGCCCTACTATTGACAGGTACCAAGTTACCTAAGAAGATTCCAGCCTGTTTCCAGCTCTTCTCTGTGCCTACACCACACAGCTAAGCCTGGACAAAAGAGTGGGGTATACTTCAGAGCCAAAGCATAACCTTCCCCGTTTCCTTACTCCAAGCAGCAGCCTTGCACAAATCTGCAATGTGCCATGGGGAAAAAGTAGGAGACAAATAGTTGGAATTTGGCTTTAACAGCCTTAAAGTGGATCGGACTAAGTTTTAATCATTACAAGTGACCACAGGTTTATGAAATTTGCCCAAGATAGATGAACTGGACCAGGAAGGAAGGAGGTTAATAAAATATGGAAGAAACGAATAATTGCAAAAAATAGAAGCACTTTCATATTTTTCAACTAACTTGTTGTGATACTCGATGTTTGAGTGACTCAAGTCTTAGTCTCTACTGCGTAACAGAGTGGGTTAGGTGAAGATAATGTCTCTGTCTCTAACCCTCTGATGACCTTCCTGCCATCTTCCCTCTCCTTGGTACCTTCTCTTCTGATTTCCCAAATCTCCAAACAAAAATCTTTATTCCCTCTGACTGACAAAAACAATTGTCACCCCAGACTGTGTTGTCACTCTTAGTGACTTTTTGAGTCATTTGATCCACACCTCTTCTTAGAACCAAGATAATGAAGTTCTTACAAGTTGAACTGAAGAGAGAAGGACTCCCTCAGGCCAAGTGTGGTGGTTCACGCCTGGCCTATAATCCAAGACTTTGGGAGGCCAAGGTGAGGGGATTGCTAGCTCAAGACTACCCTGGGCAGCATAGCCAAACCCCATCTCTACAAAAAATACAAAAATTAGCCAGGTGTGGTGATACATGCCTGTCGTCCCACCTATTTGAGAGGCAGAGGTGAGAGCATTGCTTTAGCCTGGGAGGTCAAAGCTGCAGTGTGCTGTGATCCTGCCACTGCACTCCAGCCTGGGTGATAGAGCAAGACCACATCTCTAAAAATAAAATTTTAAAAAATTAGAGAGAGAGAGAGAGAGAGAGAGAGGCCCTCAAAGGAAGCAAGCAGACCAGCCTCAGCAGATGGCTAGGCAGATCCAAAGGTTCACTCTACTCAAGGTCATCAGATCGGAGAATGCTTACTCTCAGGCCTCAGGGGCCTCCTAAGGGGATGTGGCCCAGATAGTTCTAGGGAATCATTTTGCAGATGCTCAAATGTCATGTATTCCCTTCTGAAAGGGATATGATTGAGGAAGGTGCACCAGCCTGCCGTTCTCCCTTGTAATTTCCTCTTTCTCAAATGTCCTTTTCTTTACCTTAAAACTGTGTTGGGGAGAGGGAGGAATATGCCCTGGAAGAATGGAACAGAGGGACAGTTGGGGACTGAAATACCCAAAAAAGAAACGTAAATAGCAAAATATGAGATTCAAGACAAGCAATATGGAAAAAAGGGAGCAGGAGATAAACCTTTGCCAAGTTTCTATATTTCTCTTCTCTTCCCTTCTCTGTCTTCCCTTCTCTTCCTTCCCCTTCTCCTTCCCCTTCTCCTTCCCCTTCCCCTTCCCCTTCCTTTCCCTTCCCCTTCCCCTCCCTTCTTCTCCTTCTCCTACCCTTTTCCCCCTTCCCCCTTCCCCCATCCCCCTTCCCCCTTCCCTTCCCTTCCCATCTCTTCCCCTCTTATCTTTTCTCTTTCCTCCCATCCCTTCCCTTCCCTCTCCTCCCATCCCCTCCCTTCTCCCCCTTCCCTCTCCTCCTCTCCCCTCCTTCCCTTCTCTTCCTCTCTCTCTCTCCCCCTTCTCCTTTTCTCTTTCTCTTCTTCCTCCCTCATTTTCTCTTTCCCTCCTCCCTTCTCCC